TCAGAGAAGCAGCCAGACCAGCCCTTGGAGGAGGTGGGGCAGGTGGTCCACTGCGACGTGCGCTTTGGGCTGGTGTGCAGGAACCGGGACCAGCACGGGGCCCTAAACTACTGTGACAACTTCCATGTGCGCCTGTTGTGCTGTGATGACTACAGCCACTGTGCCACCACATCTGCAGTCCCCAATTCCACAGCACTCCCTTCCTCTGCCCCAGGGACCACGCATACCCCTGTTACTCCCCCAAGTAGCCTGCCAACCTTCAGCGTGTCCACTGGGTCCACCTCAGTCCTCACCACCCTCAAACCCACTGGCTCCCCCAGCCCACCCTTCTCCCAGGTGCCATGCTTCTGCCACGCCTTTGGACAGCTGTTTTCACCTGGTGAGTCTCTGGGGCTTCCCCAAGTACCTCGCCTGCCTGGGTCTGTCTCAGGAGCTTGTTGGTTTCTCCCCACCAGCCACATTCAATCCCCACCCTTTCTGGAGGCCCCACCCTGTGACAGCTGCTCCCTGCTGCCCTGACCTCTGCCTGTGCTGTACCAGGCCCTGACCAGCTAGCCACTGGGTGTGACTACATCATTCTGTGTGTCTTCTCCACAGGGGACGTCATCTACAACAAGACTGACAGAGCCGGCTGCCAATTCTACGCAGTCTGCAGCCAGCACTGTGACATCGACCGTTTCCAGGGGCACTGCCCCACCACCCTTCCACCAGCCTCCTCCTCTGATCTGCCTCCCACATCCCCACCCCCTGGCTGCAGTAATGCCAATCCTCCCCGACAGGTGGGCCACACCTCCTTCCACCTCTCCTATGTGCTCAGGGTCTTAGTCTGAGAGGAGCATAGCCCAGCTTAGCAGCTGTCTCAGTGACCCTACCCAGGCTGGTTCTCATGGGGATGGGAGACCTGGGGTTCTAGGTGGTACCGGTGGCTGGAGGATGTGTCCCCAAAGCCAGCCCAGGCAAGCACTGTGCACGTTCCCTGTCCCAGGTGAACGAGTCCTGGACCCTGGAGAACTGCACTGTGGCCAGATGCGAGGGTGACAACCGTGTCGTCTTGCTGAAGCCAAAGCCAGTAGCCAATATCACCTGTGTGAACGGGCAGCAGCCCCTCAGAGTGTGGAACCAGAGCCAGCCCTGTGACTCCCACTACGAGTGTGAATGTGAGAAGACACAAGTGTGGCTCCCCATGTGATGTGCCTGGGCAGAGCCACGCTGCTAACCAGGCTTGGGGGTGGGGCATGACAGGGGGCTGGGAGGTCGGCAGCCCCAGCCCTGGAGACCGGGATGCAGTGCCACTGCTGATGCCAGTCCTTGGGCCAAAAATGCTGGTGCAGCCAAACGAGGGCCCAAGGTTCCCAAGCATGGATGCAGCAGGTCAGACCGCATGGCAGGGAGCCGGCAGAGGGTTCTTAGACTAGGGGACATTCAGGATGGATGTGGGGGTCATAACCATGGCCACCGTTACTGAGTGAGATACTGCTGCTACAAGGTGTTGGCTTTTTATCCCTTCTGTGCGTGTGTCCTGGGGCTGCTGGAACAAACGACCACAAACGAGGGGCTGTGCCTCATCCTCTTACAGCCTCAGATGCAGAGTCTAGGGCCAGAGGGAGCCAAACCCAGCACCCTCCCAGCCCTGGGGGCCCTTTCCTCCTCCCCAGCTCTGGGGCTCCAGACACTTCTTGGTTTGTGGCCGTGTCACCCCGACTCTACATCTGTTGTCTGTCTCCATGTGGCTCCTCCCATGTGTGTCTGTCTCTCTCCCATTACTCACAAGGACACTAGTCATTGGATTTGGGGCCATCCAGATAGTCCAGGATGTTCTTGTTTCTAGATCTGTCACCTAAACATATATGCAAGGACCTTTTTCCACAATAAGATCCCATTCCAAGTTCTGGGGTAGATGTGGTTATCAGGGGACCCCATTCAGTGCATTATGCTCCTTTTGTAGACAAGGCAACTGAGGCTGGGGGCTGGTGATGCTCCCCTGAGGTGACAGTCATGTTGATGACGCTACACCCATGAGGCCTCCCACCCTCCGTGTCCATGTCTGCAGGCTCCTGTAGCGGGTGGGGAGACTTCCACTACTCCACCTTTGATGGCAGCACCTACTCCTTCCTGGACAACTGCACCTACGTGCTCGTGAGAGAGATCCACCCACACCACGGGAACCTGAGCGTTCTGTTGGACGGCCACTACTGCGGGGCCTCCACCACCACCCCCAGCTGCCCTCGCGCCCTCATTGTCCACTATGAGTCCATGGAGATCATCCTCACCACCACCACCATCCGTGGGAAGGAGGAGAGCCTGGTGAGCCCGACAGTGTGGAGCAGCCGGGCCCCTGGTCCTCTTGCCAGGGAAGGAAGGCCAACTTCAGACCCACCAGTTTGCAGCTCCTGAGGGGGCAGAGCACCCCCCTTCCCCAGAGGGTCATCTGGAGACCCCAAGGAGGAGCCTGGGTCTGGGGTAACAGTGCTGGCCCTTCCTTGGTCATGGGTCCCCTGGATGCCCCCAGGTCCTGTTTGACCATGTGCGGGTGAGCAGGGGCTTCACCAAGCGTGGCGTGAGTGTGATCCTGACTGGGATCCAGACCATGGGTGTCGACATTCCCGCCATCGGCGTGAGCATCTCCTTCGATGGGCACACATTCCAGGTCCGGCTGTCCTTTGGCCGCTTTAGCCATAACACTGAGGGCCAGTGTGGTGAGTGGCATGGCCGGGCCTGCAGGGCCTCAGTGCCTAGGGACTGCAAGTGTGGAGGGACAGGGGGCCACAAGAGGCTTCTCAGAGCCAGCCCTTAGCAACCTCTCTCCCCAGGCACCTGCACCAACAACAAGGAGGATGATTGCCGCCAACCGGACGGCTCCCTGGCCCCCACATGCCAGGACATGGCCAGGTCCTGGCTGGTCCCTGACAGCAACCACGAGGGCTGCTGGGGACCAACAGGCCCACCACCGACTGCCAATCCCACGTCCCCAGCTACCAGTGTGCCCACTACTGCCTCGTGCCTTCCAGATCCCCTATGCGAGCTCCTGCTGAGCCAGTGAGTGCTTCTGGGGGGGAGAGCAGACCCAGGACTGGCTCTCTGGGGTGCTATGATCCGGCCTTGACTGCCCCATCCACAGCGTCTTTGCCGAGTGCCATCACCTCGTCCCACCCGGCCCGTTCTTCAGCGCCTGTGTCAGTGACAGCTGTCGCCCCAGGGCACCCTGCCAGAGCCTGGAGGCCTATGCAGCACTCTGCCGCTCCAGGGGCGGGTGTAGTGACTGGCGCAATGCTACCGGAGGACTGTGCGGTGAGTTGGGGCAGCCCTGTGTCTCCAGCCTCCCTGGCCTGCCTGACCCCTGTCTATATGCCCACAGACATCACCTGTCCACCCACCAAGGTGTATAAGCCCTGCGGCCCCGTGCAGCCTGTGTCCTGTGATCCAAGGTGAGCAGGGGTAGGGGTGGCAGTCTCCTCCAGTCCCCAGGCTGCCCTGACAGGTTTAGGGGGAGCCAGGAGACCAGCAGATGGGCAGTCTCTGAACTCCAGATCTAGGGCACCTCTGACCCCAAGGCTCCTGGAAAACATCCCTGGCATTGCAGACAAGTGGGAGCACCCGTCCTTCCATCCCAGCTCTGAACCCTTGACCCACTCTATCCATTGTCCCATGTCCCATCACGGGGGTCCACACTGACACAGGTAAAGGGGGTCTCCCAAATCATGGAGCCCCAGGACCACTCTTCTTTCATGCAGGAAGCAGAACCCATTGAGCGGGGGGCTGGCTGAAGGCTGCTTCTGCCCCGAGGGCCAGATCCTCTTCAACACACTCACAGACATCTGCGTGCCCACATGCCGTAAGCTTCGTCCACATGCCAGGGACATATCACAGGCTGGGGAGAAGGGCCTGGGTGGAAAGGCCCCAGCTGAGCACTGGGGGAAGACAGCCTGGGGCCTGGGGCGAGGGGGAAGTAGCCCAGCAGAGAGCACATTGCCATGGCCTGTGGCCTCTGCTGCCAGCCTGGACCCAGCATCCTCAGTGACCCTTTGCTCCTTTTCTTCCAGCCTGTGTGGGACCTGATGGGCTTCCCAAATTTGTGAGTGGATCCATCCTCCCAGTCCCACTCCTTTCCTCAGGAAGAGGGGAAGGGGAAGGAGGGGGAGGGAAGGAGGGAGCCAGCACCTCCCTCTAGAGTCAGCTCTGCTGCAGCCCTGGGCATGGTGGGTTTGGGGAGTCAGCCTGGGAGCATAACATGGTTGTGTTCTGTGGTGGACATGGCTTCCTGCCTGTCACTCCAGGCTGCTCCACAGACAGCAGCCTGTGGGGGCCATCCCCAGAGATGCCCAGGACCAAGCTTGTCCTGAAGCTCTTGGGGATCCTGTCATGGTCTGTTCCAGCCTGGAGAGCGGTGGGTCAGCGACTGCCAGGCCTGCGTGTGTGACGAGGGCTCGGTGTCGGTGCGGTGCAAGCCCCTGAAGTGTGAGCCTCAGGTCTGGCCCCCGAAGTGTGGCCAGCCTGGCTTTGTGGCCCTGACTAGGCCCCGGGTTGACAACCCCTGCTGCCCTGAGACGCTGTGCGGTGAGACCCCACTGGGCAGCACTGAGCGGGTGGGAGCAGAGGAGGCTACAGAGTCCCAGCTTGACCACAGCTGAGGGCCTGGGCAGGACAGCCTCCAGGCACCCATCTGTTTGCCTGGAGATAAGGCTGTTGACCTCTGGCCAGCTCAGGTATAGCCTGGGGACTTGGAGAGCACCAGGGAAGTGATAGAGGAAGCCTTAGAGGCAACTGAAGAAGGCCGAGGACAGTAAGCAGCCTTCACAGAGAAATAGCTGTTTGGCAATGCGGGGAGACACAGTTTCTGCCAGGAACATGTCAGGGCAAGGGTGGAGGCCGGGGCAGGCAGTCCCTTGATGGAGCCCATTTGCCCTGCAGTCTGCAACACCACCACCTGCCCCCAGAGCCTGCCCAAGTGTGGGCAAAGCCAGGTGCTGACCCGTACCCAGGAGGAAGACCAGTGCTGCCCTGTCTTCCACTGCCGTGAGTGGCGCCGGGTGGGGCAGGCTCTGGGTCTGACCTCTGGGACACAGGGCACAGGGTGGGGCTTGAGGCATGGGACACGGGACACAGGTTGCTGTGAGCTCAGCCCTCTTTCTTTTCAGAACTGAAGCTGTGCACATACAATGGCACTGTCTATGGGGTAAGGGTAGTGCCTAGGGGGGATGTGCTATGGGGTAAGGGTAGTCCCTCTGGGGTGGGTGTGCTAAGGTGGAGGGTACCTGAACCTCTATAGGGGATGATCTATGTCTCTCTGAGCCCACATCCTCACCTCTACTCTCCTGCCAAGATGGCAGATTGGCAGAGGGGCTCTGGGGAAACTTTCCACCAAAGGCTGGAACTTGCTCTGGACACCTGCTGCCTCTGCTATGGTCTATGCTGGGAGGGGCAAATCCATACTCCATTTGCAAATGAACAAAACTGCCCGTGAGCCTCACCTGACCCCAATACTCAGTGCCATCCTCCTGCCCACTGTAGGTCGGCGCTACCTTCCCAGGGGTCATTCCTTGCCACACCTGCAGCTGCCTCTCCTCCGACACCCAGGACCCAACTGTGCGGTGTGAGGAAGATGCCTGCAACACCACCTGCCCCCAGGTGAGCCGCCCACGGGGGCTGGGTTCTGCGGAGTTCTCCACCTAAGCCTATGCTGGGGTCCTGCTTTTTCCCAAAGTGAGGGACACAGCCAGAAGCTGAGGGAATAGGCCTAAGGTGGAGGTCCAAGAAGGCAGGGGGTGAAGAGGGATGCTGGAGGCTGGGGTGAGGCTAAGCCAGGACAACTGAGCAGGGCCACGACTCAAGGCCACTGGGTCATGGACGGGGCAGGGGGCAGGCCAGGCTGGAGTGGGCTGACCAACCTCCTGTTCCACAGGGCTTCACATACACAAGAGTGGCCGGGCAGTGCTGTGGGCAGTGCATGCAGAATGCCTGTGTCACGCCCGACGGCTGGCCTGTCCAGGTAAGAGAAGGGGCATTTGGGGGCATCTCAGCCCCTTCAGGGAGACCCTAGCCTCCAGCCTGCTCAGCTCACAAGGTAATCTCCACCCTGCCTCCACCCTCTACCCTGCATTTCAGCCCAATGGAACCTGGGTCAATAGCCGGGTGGACAATTGCACTGAGTACCACTGTGAGGTCAAGAATGGGCAGTACATGCTGAGCCCTCGGCCATCACCCTGCCCTGATGTATTCAGCTGTAAGGTGTGTGCTAGGAACCCCCACCCACCCAGGGATAGCTCCAATTACCCAGGGAGGCCCCTCCCACTCACCGGAAAGCCATGCCCACCCAGAAGGCTGCACCCACTCCAGGGCTCTTCCCTGCCAAGGAAGCCAAACCCTCAGCCACCCCTGTCCTTGGCCCTGCAGGGGATCCTCAGGAGAACCGGCTGCTGCTACTCCTGTGAGGAAGTAGGTAAGTCGAGACCTACCACCTTCCTGCGCCAGTCTCCAGAGCTGTCCAGGCTTTGTCCACAGGCTCCTGCCCAGATTTCTCCCACTGGAAACACAGTGATTGTGGTCCCCAAGTCCCCACACAGAGTCCTGGGTGGTCATGGAGGGGCAGTCCTGTGTGGAAGGCCAGCCACACCAGGTCCAGGTGCTCAGAGTGAGGGTCCAGTGGGGCTCTGCACCCACCTCTCCTCCCCCAGACTCATGTCAAGTCCGCATCAACACCACGGTCCTGCGGTATGGGGACTGCGTGAGCAAGGGGGCAGTCAACATCACCTTCTGCGAGGGCTCCTGTCCTGGAGCGTCCAAGTGAGTGGGCTCCCAGTCCTCCCCCAGAGTGTGTCCATAGTAGTTTCTCCTGCTCTGTAGAGGTGGTGGCCGCCCGGGCCACAGAGTACCCACGGGGCCTGTCTGTACCCTGCCTTAGGTCAGGAGGATCCACAGCTGCTACAGGAAGGAGGAGAGGGGGACTTGTGCCCAGGGGCTTGTGGAGCAGTACCCACCTGGGGAGGGTAGGCAGGACCAGAATGTTTTATGGATGCCCCTTGGCCCAGGCTGTGGCCAGCTATGAGTATGAGTAGCCAGGGGCATTGAGAGCCCTTGACCTGTGAGGCAGGAGAGGAAGGGTGAGGGCTGGCTTGAGGTCTAAGGGGAGGGTCTCCAAAGGAGGGGATCTGCCCAGGGTCAGCAAGATGGAGAAGGTGGTTCTGGGGAAGAACCACAGCAGGCCACAGAGGACAGAGCAAGGCTCAAAGTGACCCTGATACCCAGGGAACTGCCTGCCCCAGGAAGGGAGGCCCTATGTGCTGTAAGAGCAAAGCCACTTGTGGACAGCTCGGGGCAGCCATCTCAGGACCCTATAAGCCCACACTGCTGGTCCTGAGGGCAGCCCCATGTCTGCAGGTACTCAGTCGAGGCCCAGGCCCTGCAGCACCAGTGTACCTGCTGCCAGGAGAGGCGGGTCCATGAGAAGGCGGTGTCTATGCAGTGTCCTGATGGCTCATCCTTCCTGCACTCCTACACCCATGTGGATGAGTGTGGCTGTGTGCCATCCTGTGTTCCCTTGCCCACAGTGTCCACAGATGCCCCTGTTCACCCAGTCTAGGGGATCCCATCTCCTCTCCACCTGCAGCCAGGACACACATGGGCCTACCAGGAAAAGCTAGGCAGCCTACTCCACAGGGCCCATGTTGCCCTGGGGCCCTTCTGCCTCTGTGCACCTTCTGCCCACTCTGGGCATGAAACGAGCTGGGGGAGACCCATTTGGGAAGGAACATGGGGGGCTGCCCTCATACACCCTGAGGCCTGTCTTGGCCACGTGCCCTGCCACAGGCCCTGGAGCCTGTGGAGCACGGATGCCCAGTTGGCCTCCCCTGGCAACCAGAGAGCAGACAGGCCAATCCAGGCAAGGCCAGCCACCATTAGGGAGCCGCATCCAGCTAAGGAGCTGCCTACCCAGGCCTGCTGAGGGTCTTGGAGGTTGGGGTCACAATAGCCAGGTCAGAGAGGGTTCAGCCCCCAGGATCCCTGTGCTCACTCAACTCCAGTTTTGCAAATAAACTCTGAGCATTCTACATGTCTCCTGTCTTGCCATCTTTTCTTGTCCACTGTGTCCCTGGGCTCCCCTCCCATCCCTCTGGGGCAGCTGTCTGGGGTTCCAGGAGTTTCGCCTGGAGGGTGGTTCTGGGCCTGGCAGGGACCAAGGGGTGAGGAGCTGCCTGGAGAGACCAAAGGGTGAGACAGAGCAGTGCTTGGCCATCCACAGGCCCTAGGGGGCAGTCTCAGTTGTGGGCACACTGGCCAGCAAAGGGGGTAGCTGTTACGGCAATGTGGGGGCTGCCCAGGAAACTGGCTCAGGTAGAGAGAAGCAGGAGCCAGTGGGGCCCAGCAGGCAGCAGGGGTGGCAAACATAGGCAGGTGCCTGGTGTTGGCAGAGCCCACAGGACACTGATTGGGGGCCTGAGGGACCACATTAACGCATGCATTTTGTCCACGTTGTCAGCAGTGACGGGGCACTTGTCACAGAGCACTCCTGTCTGCTTCTCCTCCTCCTGAGGACAGGGATTTCTGCACTTCCTTCAGCTGCTCATCCAGCAGCTGTGTGGCAGCCTGTAGAGGCACAGGCAGGATGCCTGGGGGTGCAGAGGACGGGTGTTGACAACCTCCTGGTGGGCAGGGTGGGCTGGGGGCTTGTGCCCAGGAACTGGCCTCCGCCCTTGGCTGTCCCAGTGACAGGGGCCTGCTAGTGCTTCAACCTTGCTGAGGTCTGGCAGGACAGGCCACTCTGACATTGCAGAGACGGTTGGGGGGCTGCAGTGGGCAGCAGGCCAGAAGGGCTGCCTCTGGAGGTCATCTGCTGTAAGCCAGCCCTGCACCCTAGAGCCACTTAACAAACAGCAAAAACTCCTCAGGCTTGTCACTGACACACAGGTGTGAAAGCCCAGTGCTGACAGGTGGCAAGTGCTTCCACGTGCCAGGAAACCATCTCATTGAATCCTGGCACAGCCCTGAGCACCGTGCACCATTATCTCCCACTTTACAGAGGGGGGATCTGAGCCACAAAGGGATGCGAGAACTCACTTGAGCCAGGGGCAGAGCTGGACTCCAGCCCAGACCGTGACTCTGGAGTCCCAGAGACAGTAACTATAAAACAAACACAATGAATACAAACAAAGCAGTGTTACTTAGACCCTCTTTTTGGGGGGGGGGGCACACAGTCTCACTCTGTCACCCTGGGTAGAGGGCCATGGCATCATTGTTCATAGCACCCTCAAACTCTTGGGCTCAACCTATCCTCCTGCCTCAGCCTCCCAAGTAGCTGGGACTACAGAAGCCCACCACAACACTTGGCTAGTTTTTCTATTTTTAGTAGAGACAGGGTCTCACTTTTGCTCAGGTTGGTCTCAAACTCTGAAGCTCAAGCAATCTACCTGCCTTGGCCTCCCAGAGTGCTGGGATTTCAGGCATGAGACATGGCGCCAGCCGAATTATTTTTAGAAGGGATTTTTGGTTTCAAGATGGAAAAGAGGGCAATCTTCCCCACAGACACAAAAACTATGACAACAATAGAAACTTTAAAATAGTGGCAACTGAGAACAGGAAAGTGACTCTGTAAAGCCGGCAGATGTCCTAAAAAGAGGGATATTTGGGAAGTGCCAACCGTGGGTGAGGGGAGCACCAGGGAGCTCAAAGCCTTTCCTTTACATGAAATGTCCAATTTTGAATTAAGTTTGGTTTATCGTATCTGAAACACACAGCAGCACAATTAAAGTTTGCACCTAAACCACCACACCGTGTTGCCCACTTAACAGCAGCTTGTTTACACCAGTGGCGAAGCCTAGAGAGCAAGTGGGATGAAATCACAGAAGGTGTTTCCCACAGCTTGTTGAGAGCTGGGTATTTTTTCTTACAAGCAGTGGTCCAGGGCCTGGAAGAAGTGGTGGTCAGTTGGTACAAGGTTTGGTGACCATGGCGGATGACAGAGTTGTCTAACTCCAGCCCCTATAGTGTGAGCAGCATTGTTTTGCAACATGGGGCAAGCACTGTCCTGCAAGGGGACTGGCCTGTCACTGTTGCCCGGTTTTGGCTGCTCACTCACAACCATCTGTACCACGTCATGTGGCTAGTTGCGTGGACATCTGCTGTGATGACCAGGTTTCATGAAGCCACAGCTTGTGTGGGTAAATATTGAGTAAATATTCGGTCTGTGACTACATTTGGACTCTCCATCTTTACTCACCCATTGTGACAAACACTGGTGATTATCAAAAGAATCTGTTTTTCATCAAACATAACAATATGGTGCAGAAACACCATATTGTTTGCCTTTACATCATGATACTAAAGGAAAGTGAACTTCAAGATGATTCCTCCTCTGGCACCCCTTTACTTCACATGGAACCCATCTACCCAGCTTCTTAGTCTTGCTCATCTTCATTTTTGATGGTCTGATGTTGTTGAATAGCAACCTTAGACCTTGCTGCTAATTCACTGTAGGTTAGATGGATTCACTTCCACTACAGCATTCAGCTCATTGTCTCAGGTCCCCCACGTGGCTCATTTTCAAGATTAAAAACACAAGAATGGAGCTTCTCAAACCATCTGCATACTGTGTGTTCATTAGCTACATCCTTCCAAACACTCTGTTGATATTTCAAGCTGTCCGAGCTGTGTTATTTCCACGACAGAACTCATATTCGAAAATAATAAGAATTTTTGACCTATCCATGTTTCCCAAAAATTGCTCTAAAAAATTTTTGAAAGATAAGCGTAAGCCCAAACATGCATGTGAAAGAGTGGGGACCTACCTTCACAATAAAAATAAAGAAGGTTCAAAGTGAAACCATCACATACCAACTGTCAAACTTAGCACTTAAGGGAACTGGACATTTCATGCTTAATAACCTAAAGAAAATGGGCAGCAGGCCCCAAATCACCATCATTTCCAAGCAGCCAACATCCTAAAGGAAGCAAAAGCCCAGAACCAAAGATGCAGGGGCAAGTATTCATGTTAGCAGGAATCACAGGGTGAATTTTTTTAAGACTTGAGGAATAAAGGGTGGGTATGGTGGCTCATACCTGTAATCCCAGTACTCTGGGAGGCCAAGGCAGGTGGATTACTTGAGCTCAGGAGTTCAAGACCAGCCTGAGCCAGAGCGAGACCCCGACTCTAAAAATAGCCAGATGTTGTGGCAGGCGCCTGTAGTCCCAGCTACTTAGGAGGCTGAGACAGAAGATCACCTAAGCACAAAAGTGTGAGGTTGCTATAAGCTGTGATGTCACAGCGCTCTACCCAGGGCAACAGAATAAGACCCTGTCTCAGGAAAAAAAAAGATTTGAAGGTGTGGAAGACAGATCTAGGAATCTTAACATTCCCTAATGAACTCTGAGAAGAAACAACAGAGAGTGAAACACAGGTGGTATTTTGAGAACAAATGTGAGGCCCCAGACTGCAAGCTCCCCGTGAGTGCTGAGAGAGCAAGGAAAACTAAGTCCCCTGAAGGCACAGTGTGCCACAGAAAGAAAAAGCAATCCCCTCCCAGACACTTAGCAGTGAGGTCCTGGAGTATCACGGGAGAGAGGGGACATCTTGGAGCCCTCAGAAGAACAAGGCAGCTCACCCCAAAGAGGAAGAGCCCCACAGGCCAGCCCCTAATGGGGACATTCAGAACTAGGGGCTGGGCCCATCCAGGGACAGGGACTTGATGCTGAATCCTACACCCAGCCACACTGACATTGAAGCGTGACAAGGTCATTTTCCACATATAAGGACTGCAAAGGTCATCTTCCCAACACCCACTGAGGTGTCTGACGTCCAGCAAGAGAGCCCATGGCCACAGGCAGAGGCATGCGAGCAGCAGAGGTGAGAGAGGCCTCTCTGACAGGACGTCAGCTCCAACAGGACATGTGCTCACAGAGGCTGTGGACAGGCCCAGGTGCTTGCTCTGCAGTCAGCGCTTCAAAGTCCCACTGAAGAAAAACCTCCCCCGCCTCGGGGTCAGAGCATTGTCTCCTAAGTGATCTCCCTAAACCTGTTTTGCCTTTATATTTTGAATCCATCCAGAATTGGAGTTTGGAAGTGGCACGAAGCAGCATTCTGACCCACTCTGTGAACAGGTCTGGTGGCTTTCCGGTGTCATGCACTGCCGAGCCCCCCGTGCCCCACTGTGTCCCCCAACAGCCTCCTTCCTACCTTCTGCACAGTGGCCTCTGCAGTCATGGCCTCCATAAGTGAGGGTCTCCATGCCACACTCCTATGACAACAATGTCTTTACTCTTCTTAGCTGTATAGGACCAACCTATTGAGCTTTACAAAAATTGCCACGAAGACAGGGCTTGTGGGACTCCGGGATTACATAGGCTGTCACTTGACTGCAGCCTGTGCCCCTCCACTTACCCCTCCAAGGCTTCCAACAGGGCTGTGCTTGCTGTGTCTCCCCTTGGGCTCCCCCTTGTCCTCTTTTTTTTTTTTTTTTTAAGACAGAATCTCAAGCTGCTGCCCTGGGTAGAGTGCTGAGATGTCAGAGCTCACAGCAACCTCAAACTCTTGGGCTTAAGCAATTCTCCTGCCTCAGCCTCCCAAGCAGCTGGGAATACAGGCGCCCCGCCACAATGCCCGGCTATTTTTGGTTGTAGTTGTCATGTTGTTTGGCAGACCCGGGCTAGATTCAAACCTGCCAGCACCAGTGTATGTGGCTGGTGCCTTAGCAGCTTGAGCTACAGGTGCTGAGCCCCCTTGTCATCTTTTCCAGAAGTTGAGGAAGAATTTTTTTTTTTTGAGACAGCATCTCACTTTGTTGCCCTCAGTAGAGTTCTGAGGTCACAGCTCACAGCAACCTCAAACTCTTGGGTTCAAGCTATTCTCTTGCTTCAGCCTCCTCAGTAGCTGGAACTACAGGTGACTCTCCCAGTGCCTGGCTATTTTTAGAGACAGGATCTCGCTCTGGCTCAGGCTGGTCTCAAATCTATGACCTCAGACAACCCACCCGCCTCGGCCTCCCAGAGTGCTAGGTTGAGGAAGAATT